CTCGGAAAGCAAACAATATGATTCGTGTGTTGAGTCATGAGTGTTGATCCTCAAAATGGTTTAATATTAAACATTCGGACATTTTACCAATTATAAATTTATGCCTCTAAAGAAACAAACGTATGTATTTGTCCAGTGGCACAGATGGCCGACTCTAACATTTTATAAAACGGACGGAAGTTTCCTAAAATGATTATAATTTATAGTGACACTTGCATTATTTATAATTTCATATTAAAATTCTTAAATGTCTCTTTACTACAAAAGTCATAAAAAGAGAGGACCACACATTGATTTTGTCTCTACAAGTCATGGGTATTTTTGGTAGTTCGTACACACCATTGAGTGTAGTGAGTTATGCACACATAACACACGCACCCAAAAAAGTTAAATATTGGAATTGAAATATTTAATTGGCCCTCTTAGATTCATGAATACTCTATCTTCTTCCTCTTACTTTTGTTGAAGATTATATTTTCTAATAGATGTCTTTATCGACATATTTATTTATTTTCAAATGCTATAGTTTTATAGGATGGAAGGGGTAATGTTCTGGGTTCTACATATAATTTAATAAATAATATAAGTATATATGAGAAAAATGACATATGTTCATTGGTTTAACTATTGTATAATCAAGTATGTGTTTCCAAAAATTATGTTTTAATCTTGTTAACAAAATATTTGTATTTTCTTTGTTTGTTTAGGATGTTCAAAATATCCAAAACCAAAACATACATATTGATTTTCGGACCAAGGTTCATGATATTGTGACGAGCTAGTTAACTAGAAAATTGATAGAAAATTAAATTTAATGTTTATGTCAATTTGCAATATTAGCTCGATATAAAGGTTTAAAGTTGGAAGATTAATGAAGTAGCAAACATTTTTGGATTTAGTTGTTTATTTTTATTAAATCTATTTTAAAATATTAATATAAGATTACAAATATCATTATAATTATTTAGTTTTTAACTTTTCTTCCAAACTTCTTTATTTTGGAACTAGCAAAATTAATGAAAACATATTGAAAATTTCCAATTAAAATGGTTAATTGACTAAAGTAGTAACCAAAATATAAATCTTGATTGATGATTTTCATGTTGGTTAATTTGTTAACCATATAGCCAAATTGCAACCCTTAGCCTAACAATATTAGATGTTGACGTCTTTCTTTGTAGTTGATGGTTCAAATATCGTCTGGAACATACATAAAATTAAGTGTTAGCTTAGCAGTGGGTTATGTTGGTGATTTTAGTGTCACAATATCATTTTAAGTAACTGGAACTAACATGTGAGTTAAGAGACTTCATAATTTGTACTCTAGTATATGTACGGGGTTGTACGGAATGCAGACATGCATAAGATCGAATTAAAAGTCGATTCGACTACTAGTCGAGGGTCCGGGGGCAGTGCCCCTTTGGCGGAGTCTTGGGGCAACGCCTCTAGCGGGGTCTAAGGAGCAGAGCCCCTGGCTGGGGAATTTTATATATGGGAACATAGTGGAAAATTCAATTTCGTGAGGGTGATTATGGTAAAACTAACGAAACTTGTTAGTTTTGGTAACCCTAAATCCTCATTAAATTAGGATTATCATGACTTGCTTTCAAAACAACTAATGACGGCTCAAACCTAATGAAACCCTCTCCCGCTTAATATATAAAAAGTTCTTCCTCTTTAGAAGAGGGTTACGATCTTAAGCTCTCGTTTTCATCATACTTTCACAGAATTCTCTAGCATATTGGTTTATGATTTCTATGCCTAGAATCGTAAGTGTCCCCTTGGATTATCCTAGGCTGAATTTCTTGTAACCCAATCATAGGGTAGAAATATCAGTTCGGAAAGTGATATCACGATCCAAGTTGGTATCCAGATCTCTACCACAAACCCTAAATTTCCTTACATAATATATTGTCGATTAAAAAAAATCACACAAACAAGTAAAATAGATCACATATAACTATATATTCAAGAAAATGTGTATACTCGATTAACATACCAAAACATTGTTAATATTCTATTTAACTATCCACGAGTCCCATATTTTAGTACAAAGACGTACTCAAGTGAGTGTCCTAGTGGTAAGAATATGAAATTATATATGAAAGATCCCAGACTCAAATATAGACAACACCTTTTTACTATGTACAGTTTTAAGATTTATCTTCTCATATTGAGTGTGAGACTAGTTGGTTAGAGACGATATCCTTTTTATATCGTACAAAGACAAAATAAATCCCCTATGCAGTGCAATAGCATTAGATAGGGATGCGCAACGAAATAGGTTACATGCTTTCTGAATCAAAATTGCTTCAGAACCGTGAGTTCTGGAATCGGAATCGCCTTAATCAGTTATTGTTCTCATTTTAAGGAACCGCTACCCGTTGGGTACCCACAAGAATATATCACAATCACTTACTTTATACAAGTATCATGAATAACATCATTTAAAATCTAGAATTTTGAATAATTTGTTTTGAACCTTTAAATGTCCATGTGTAATTTTCATTGTGAATTTAAATATCCAAGTTCAAAATGAAATTTGTAGACAATAGATAATATAATATTGTGTTGAACTTAAATTCTAACTTATAGAAATATTCGTTTAGCTATGAACTTCAATTGTTTGAATTTTTTAAATCATAATTATGAATTTAAGATACATGAAATTAGTGGAGTTTATTATATATTCAGGGGTATAGCCAATATAGGGCAAAAATGGACCTTGGCCCACCCTCCCAAAATTAAAATTACATATATACGGTATGTATAATATATATTTTTGTTAAATAAAACGAATTAGAGTTGTGATATTGCATATTCCATTCAAAACTTGAAATTGGTAGAAAAGAATACATTATTATCTATGTCGATTATACTTCATTTTAGATTATTTTAATGATGTAAGACAATATCGTGTGTAACTTAATAAACAATTTAGTTAAGAATGCATATATAGTTACATTTTATTATCGTTTGAAGAGTTTTGCCACTCGTTCTTATTTATTATTTGGCCCACCATAAAACAAAATTCTGGCTACGTACTGTATGTATTGATATTATCGATAACGCTTTTGTAAGTTTACAATAGATATACTTTGATAAGTTTTAAAAATTCAACAAATTTAACGAATCGGATATCCAGTATGAGAACCGCTACCCGTCGGTTCCGGTTCCAATATTTTAGGAACCCCGGTTTTAGTTCCCATTCAAGATAATTCGGACAGGTACCCACCTACGTTCATCCCTAGCAGTAATGGTGTTATTTGGTTGATTTAATCAAATTTCAGTTTATTTAGTTTTTTAATAATTTAATATTAACAGTAACCAAACTAAATAGAATTCAATTTAATCGGTTTCATACTACTAAGTTTTAATGTTATTGTTAATCTAGGAGTTAATTAAATTGCATGTTTTGTTCTTTTTTATTAATACAATGTGATTAAATAAATATATTGAAAAAAAACAATTAAAAATAAATAAATGAAAAAAAAAAAGAAAAAAAAAACCCAAAAAAAATGCTGTCTTGAAAAGTTAAAGATATTATAACAAATTATCCATTTCTTCAATTTGGTGTTATCAAATCATTTTGACATGATATATATTTTGGATGTGATAAACCCTTTAACTAGTCTGACCAAATGAGTTAATGTATTATAAATACTACAAATTAAACGGAAACTAAAATGTATTGTTTTAGAACGAATGTTTTTCATTCACAAATTACTACTTATATTTTATAACATTTTAAGGGGTACTAAAAATATATCTCATAATGTTTTAAAAGATGCATATATATTCTGTCCATTCGTCAGATTTATGTTGGACCACTTCTCCTTTTTTAAGTTGTAAATGTTATTGGATTCGTGGTTGAACCCAAAAAATATAAATAAAAAGAAAATAAAACACAAAATTATCTATAAAAATAAAATTTAGAAATATTTATGTGATTCTTCATTTGGGTTATTCGGTTAATCTAAATAAACGGAAAGTTAACCTAATTCTAACCTAATGAGATTATCTGTGTTCGACTATTCGGTCCCAAACCGAATGACCCCAACCCGTACAACCTTCTGTTTAGGTTTGCAAGGATTATATTAACACTTTTAGAAAGTACAAGGGTTGAAAATACAATTTTCTTTAAAAAAATATTCCTCTCCTTTTTTCCCGTTCGCCCCTTCTCCCCTTCGCCCCTTCGGTACCTATTTAAGATTCCACCTGTTCGAAACTTCATCTTCCCGTTTCCCCATCGCTAATCAGCTCTCTATATACCTGTCAATTGACGTTCTTCGGTGGATTCCGTTGTCCTTAATGACCTCTCAGATGTTCTAATCTTGACTAATATTTCTCAAAATTTGAGGTATATTCTTTGACTACCTTTTGTTAATTTCTAATTTTCTATTGCTCTCTTTCTAATTTCATCTATGGGAAAAGTTCAATAGACGATGATATAAGAAATGCTGCTTTCGCAGTTACTTGATTCTTGATTTTGCATCGTTTTACAGATTAAGGATTTCATATGCTTTTGTTATATTGTTTCTATAATTATGTTGTCATTTGAAGTCGATTTCTAGAAGTTAGTTGCTGCTCTAATCGTTAATGGGATCGAGATATATTTGAACTTAAGTAAATATCATCTGGGGTAGTGGAACTTAGATTTTGCATTGGAATGGGGAAAAAATCAGTTCGATGTATCTTTTATAGATTTATCTTTCATGTACCCAAGATTCTATGTCTTGAATCCATCTTGTTCAAAGTTTTCATGTGACTTTTGATTCTTGCTCTTCTTGATGTTAAAAAATCTTTTCTTTCAGTTTCAGGTGAATGATAGAGTACACTTCCTTGTACACAAATGGATAGGAGAGATACATCTGGATTCGTGAGTGGTGGATGTAGCTTGGTGGAAAGTTCCCATGTTCTGTTTATTTTGATCTATAGATGCTTATAGTTGTAAATAGTAATTGATTCTCTTACTACTTACCCAAACTCCCTTTAGAAAAATGGTTTACAATAACCTGAAGATCGATCTCAATGCAGCCTTTGTTTGTAACGATGACTTAAGTAAGAATTATGATTATGGTGATACCACCTTACGTTTGGCTTCGAGAAGTAACATTAGTTTTATAAACTCTAGAGAACAACATACAAAGAGTGCACCCAAACATGGCTCCACATTGGTCCTCGGATTAGGGCCTACACCAACTACTTACTCCAATGATTTTTGTTCTTCTGGAATCAACCGAAACAAAAAACAAGCCGATGAAGATTCAGTTCTTCAACTTTCTCTTTCTTATAATTCTGGTGCTTCAAAGAGTCATCTGAATCGATTTTCTAATCATTACAGTGGATCTTTCGAAGCTAATAATGGTTTCGGAATTTCTGTTTTTGACGAGGGTGCCACATCAGCAAAAAAGTCAGGTGGCTATATTCCATCGCTTCTTCTAGCTCCAAGAAAAAGTAGTACTACAAGCAAAACCTTACTCCAAAGATGTGAGCTTTCTGAACATGGAGAAAAATCCGATCATGGGTGTCCTTCCGAATCATCGGTTGTCTCAGGCTACTCAACAGGAACAACATCAGGTCAAACAGAATCTCTCATACCGCGTGGCGGCCGGAGGCGGTGCCGCCACCCAACAGGGTGCAGCAACGCCGCTAGGGGGAAGTGGGAGTTCTGCATCAAACATGGTGGCGGAAAGAGGTGTGTGGTGGAAGGTTGTTCCCGGAGCGCCGAATTACAACCAGGGTTGTGCATCTCTCACGGCGGCGGCAGGCGGTGTTGGTTCCACGGTTGCACCAAGGGAGCTCAGGGGAGCACTAATTACTGCAAAGCTCATGGCGGCGGGAAGCGGTGTGTGTTTTCCGGTTGCACCACCGGTGCTGAAGGTAGTACTCAACTTTGTAAATCCCATGGCGGAGGAAAAAGATGTTTGTATGAAGGCGGTGGGATTTGCCCTAAAAGCGTGCACGGAGGAACCAATTTCTGTGTGATGCACGGCGGTGGAAAGCGGTGCGTGGTGGCGGGGTGCACCAAGAGCGCGCGTGGCCGGACCCATTGTTGTGTGACACATGGCGGCGGGAAGCGGTGCAAATTTGAAAATTGCACCAAGTGCGCCCAAGGTAGCACGGATTTCTGTAAAGGCCATGGCGGCGGGAGGCGGTGCGGGTGGGTAGGAGGAGGAGGAGAGGGGAAGTGTGAGAAGTTTGCTAGAGGGAAAGGTGGTTTATGTATGGCACATGGAACCATGGTTCAAGAAAGTGAGGGAGGTATTAGGCCACGACTCTTTCATGGTGTGGTGGCCCAGTCTGCATCTGACAATAATAACTCATTATCGGGTGTCAGTGTTGTATCTAGTTCTGTCGGTTGGTTAGAAAGGCCTGCGAAAAGACGACAACTCATTCCGCCTCAAGTGCTAGTTCCTTCGTCTATGAGGACATGGGCGTTTTCGTCATTTACTCCAAACCATAAGGAAGGTGTTGTGGTTCCAGAGGGGCGAGTCCATGGTGGCAGTTTGTTGTCGTTGCTTGGGGGGAGCTTGAAGGACGCTGTTACAGATGGGATCTGATTGAACAACTTTTTTTTTTTTTTTTTTGTATAAAGTTTCCCACATCGGAATAAGAAGAAGCCGTTAAACGGGTTATAAGTTTGTTTTTACTGTTTAGTTATGCTATTTGTGGTTTCGGGTTCAAAAAAGTTCCCGTAGAGATGCAAATCCGGAATCGGGTTATGCTTTCAGCAGCAGCAATTGAATCGCTTATTATTTGTTACTTGTAATTGTTTTGGTTTACAAAATAAAAATCTGTATAAAAATAATTTTTTTTTCTATAAAAAGAGAAAATATAAGTTGTAATATATTTTTTCGGTTGAATCTCGGACTGTAGGTGAGAAAATATAAGTTGTAATATATTTTGTTCGCTTATTATTTGTTACTTGTAATTGTTTTATTTATTTATTTATTTATTCATTTTTGTTCTATATTTATAGTTTTACTTATTATTTGCTACTTGTAATTGTTTTGGTTCACAACATAAAAATCTGTATATATATATATATATATATATATATATATATATATATATATATATATATATATATATATATATATATATATATATATATATATATATATATATATATATATATATATATATATATATATATATATATAAAGAGAAGATATAAATTGTAATATATTTTGTTTGGTTGAATCTCTGACTGTAGGAGAGTCGAGTCAATATGCCGCCATGACCGCTTATTTGGTAATCAACAAATTCAATTTCTACTCAACTCAATACTTATGTATATATACATGTGAAGGTTACAAATGTACTACTCTAATAGCTCAGGTAGTCAGGTTCTACTTGATTTTAAATATATATATATATATATATATATATATATATATATATATATATATATATATATATATATATATATATATATATATATATATATATATATATATATATATATATATATATATATATATATATATATATATATATATATATAAACTTGAAACCTTATTTTAATAGCATGAGTTCGATTTGATGTTAGGTTTCAAGTAGTATAAGAGTCAACTTGGCTAGGTTATTGTAACATACACGTTTGGAAATCGTGTTTTATAATGAATAAAATTGTGAAATACTATGTGAAATTGAGTGTTGAGTTCTAACAAATGGTTTTTACTAGAAATGAAGTAAAACTATGTTTAGAATCACTCAGAAAATATTGGAAGTCTTATAAGATTCCAATTAAAAGCCAAATAATGAAATTTAGCGAAAATATAAAATTTTAAATAAGTAAAATTTTATTATTTGATGTCGTAGAAAATCTCGTTAGAAACTTGTAGGCGAAAACCTCGTCGAAATCCGAGTTATAATGAAGAAGTTATGACCAACCGAAGATCCGCTACAAAACCGGCACGGCGCCGAATGACGTAAAAAGTGAGTTTTTGATAAACTACTTTTTAGCCTTAGTAATCTAAATGAAAGTCGTATTATTCGTTAAACCGAGAAATTCGATAAAAAGAACGCCACAATCTGACTTCGTATGAGGAAGTTATGATTTTTCGAAGTTTCAACTTAGCAATAGATAGCTAAAAACTCGAATTTTAGATCGAGCGATATTTGACCGATACATCCTAAACGAGAATCGAAGGTCAATGCTCGATAAGTCTGTCATCGTATTCACTGACGATATTCTAATCTATTCCAAGTCTGAAGCCGATCATGCCATTCATATTCGTGAAATCTTAGAACTTCTTCGAAAGGAGAAACTTTATGCTAAATTCTCGAAATGTGAATTTTGGCTTCGTCAAACTCAATTTCTCGGCCATATTATTTCTAGTGACGATGTATCCGTAGATCGTATCAAAATCGAAGCCATTCAAAATTGTGAAGTACCCCGTATAATGCTTCCGAAATTCGAAGTTTCTTAGGTCTCGTGGGATATTACCGGAGATTCATTTAAGACTTTTCTCATATAGCCGTACCTCTCACAAGTCTTACATGGAAGGAAGTGAAGTTTGAATGGGGTGAAGCTCAAGAAAAAGCTTTCTCAACTCTAAAAAATCTTTTGACTCATGCTCCCATCTTATCACTCCCAGAAGGTGATGATGATTTCTCCGTGTATAGCGATGTTTCAAGATTGGGACTCGGTTGTGTGTTGATGCAGCGTGGTAAAGTGATAGCCTATGCTTCAAGACAACTGAAAGATTATGAAAAGAATTATCCCACCCATGATCTTGAACTCGCTGCAGTAGTATTTGTCCTAAAACTTTGGAGACATTACCTTTTTGGTACGAAATGCCAACTGTTTACCGACCATAAGAGTCTCAAGTATATATTCAGTCAGCAAACTCTGAATATGAGACAACAACGAGCCATGGAGCTGATCAAGGACTATGATTGCGAAATCCTGTACCATCCTGGAAAGGCTAATGTGGTTGCAGATGCACCTAGCAGGAAAATTTATCGTAATAGTATGTGTTATACTATTACTCACACTATGGTGAAGTTCACTATTCTTGATGAACTAGAGAAGTGGCAAGTTGAGGCCTTAAAGCCAGAAAATGTGAAGAATGAAGGAATGGTACATTATGCTGATATTTTACTTGATGATCCACGAGGATTAAAAGTATTTAAGAATCGGCTATAGATTCCAAAGATTGGTGGATTAAGACAGAAGATTTTAGATGAAACTCATAAGTCTAAGCTATCAATACATTTTGGTACAAGTAAAATGTACTACGATGTAAAAGCGGATTATTGTTGACCTGGATTAAAGAGAGACATTGGAAGATATGTACATGAATGCTTAGTATGCTTACAAGTCAAAACAGAGCACCAAAAGCCTTATGGAACCCCAGAAAGTCTTAGTGGTCCTGTATGGAAGTGGGGAGAGCTGTCCATGGATTTTATTACCAAATTGACGAAGACTGCTAGATAGCATGATAGCATTTGGGTAATCGTCGACCGCCTGACTAAGAGTGCACATTTTCTCTCCATGCGTGAAACGGCTCCAATGGAGAAATATGCACAAGTATACTTGGATGAAATTGTTGCAAGACATGGTGTGCCACTAAAGATCATTTCCGATTGCGATACTCGCTTCACTTCTCACTTTTGGGTGAATATGCAATGCGAATTGGGATCTCGAGTTGCTCTCAGCACCACTTATCATCCCCAGACAGATGGTCAGACGGAGAGAACAATCCAAACTGTAGAAGATATGCTTCGTGCATGTGTATTGGAGTTCGGTGGTAACTGGGATAAATACTAACCGCTTGTTGAATTTTCGTATAATAACAGTTACCATACTTCAATCAAAATGCCATCATATGAAGCATTTTATGGTCGCAAATGTCGTACGCCGTTATGTTGGCGTGATGTAGGACAGAAGATCCTTGGAGGCCCTTAAATGATTCAAGACACCACCAACAAGATTCAAATCGTACGAGAAAGAATGAAAGCAACCCAGGATCAATATAAGTCCTATATGGAAAAGAGAAGACGACCTATGGAATTCCAAGTGGGTGATTTCGTGATGCTGAAAGTATCCCCATGGAAAGGCCTTATGTGATTTGGGAAGAAAGGAAAGTTGAGTCCTAGATTTGTTGGTCCTTTCAAAATCATCTAGAGAATTGGAAAGCAAGCATACCGCTTAGAATTGCCTGAAGATTTGGCAGGTATTCATGATGTGTTTCATGTAAGTTATCTGCGCAAATGCTTGAGCATCTACGATGAGACAGTTCCATTATCCGAGGTGAAATTGGATAATAAGTTAAGATATGTTGAAGAGCCTGAAGAAATCGTGAATGAAAGAACAACTAAGCTACGCAATAAAGAAGTAGAATTGGTGCTTGTCAAGTGGAAACACCATCGAGGCCCAAACTATACATGGGAGAATAAGAATGAGATAAAAGCAAAATATCCCCATTTATTTTAATCGATGTAATTTCGGGGATGAAATCCTCAAAAGCAGGAGGTATTTGTAACATACACGCTTTGAAATCGTGTTTTGTAATGAATAAAATTGTGAAATACTATGTGAAATTGAGTGTTGAGTTCTAACAAATGGTTTTTACTAGAAATGAAGTTAAACTATGTTTAGAATCACTCAGAAAATATTGGAAGTCTTATGAGATTCCAATTAAAAGCCAAATAGTGAAATTTAGTGAAAATATAAAATTTTAAATAAGTAAAATTTTGTTATTTGATGTTGTAGAAAATCTCGTTAGAAACTTGTAGGCGAAAACCTCGTTGAAATCCGAGTTATAACAAAGAAGTTATGACCAACCAAAAATCCGCGACAAAACCGGCACGACACCGAATGACGTAAAAAGTGAGTTTTTGATAAACTACTTTTTAGCCTTAGTAATCTAAATGAAAGTCATATTATTCGTTATAGAAGGCCGCTAGGCAGTGGGAGATTGATTTGGAGCTCTAGACGAGGGAGTAGAGGCAAGCCCTCATACAGTTGCAGCCTACAACAAAGCAGTTCAAGGTCACTGATCTGAGATCTGGAAGTCAGAGGGGTCGTACTTGTGGCAAGTGCGACAAGGTTCATGATGTTTCTTGTCGATCATTTGCTGGATGCCACAAATGTGGTAAGGAAGGACACTTTTCGAGGGATTTTCGCTAGCCGGCCCTAGTATCGAACACCAAAATTTGCTACCATTTTGATCAGGTTGGCCATGTGAAGGCCAACTGTCCATTGATCGCCGCCAAGCCGACGCAGAACCCAACGCCAACCACTCTGAGGATCACCGATGGGCGCCAGGGTAGGTTAGAGCCCCCAAGGGCTCAAGGTTGTGCTTTTCAGCTCACTTTTGAGGAGGCCAGGGCAGCACTATACATCGCTACTAGTATGTTTCTGTTTATATTTTTTCGATTTATTTATGGTATGGCTATGTTTATGATTCTTTTAGGCACCTTTCTAGTGAACTCTTTGACTGCTCTTGTGCTTTTTGACTCGGATGCGAGTCGATATTTTGTATCCCAGACATTCTATAAGGGGTTTGATATTCCTATTGGAGAGTTAGAGTGTCCGTTGTGGGTTTCT